TGTGCTTTTTTGTGCTTTTTTGTGCTTTTTTATGCCAAATCAGTGAGAAATTGGAGTGTACCTTTTAGGTAAGTTTATTTGTAAGCCGTCCTTCTCAAAGACAAAATCTCTTTGTCGAAGAAACTTAATGTATGATTATATACATTAGAATCAGTAGAAACGCGCGCAGGAGACAGCCGTTCCGGTCGTTTTATTTCAAAATTTTACAGTATAAATTTTACTATGAAACTCTATGTGTAGAGAGCGATTCACTAGACGTGGGCTGCAAGATCCATCGTGGCCAGAAAGTATGCGAACTGACGCGTACGCACGCGTTGACATTCGGTGGAATTGCTGGGACGATGCCCTGATTTCTGGCGGTCTACCAAGATGACGATACTCCAGATCGCGGTTGGTGTGACGCACGATCGCCGTGTTGGCATTCGAGGCACGACCGAATTTCAACGTGGTGCAGCGGAGGCAAGGTCGCATTAAAGCGCAAGTGCGCTTCCGCCGCGCTCGGCAACTCTCTCGATCTATGTTGACGTAAGCCAAAGGAGAGAATCCCGTGGGTAGTTCAACGGGTATTTCCGCCGATTTGGAGATTTGAAGATCGTATCGTCGTGGAGATCTAGGTCAGCGAATGATACTGCTTTAAACCTTCCGCTACGGGACATATGTTTTCTCGCGATCGTTAATAGTAACCTTATTCAATTAAATAAACAGCTTCTTTGACATTCAGAAAACGTCAACTATCACTCTACTTGTTACGTTGGGACAAATATGTCCTCCCAAAAACTCTAGTGAGACATTAATGTCCTGGCTCTGTTTCTTTGGCGCTAAACTTAAAATTTTTAATTTTTTTTTGCTATAAAACTATATTATAGATGTATTTAATAAAGTGTAAAAAAAAACTGTATTTGTAAGGAACAAAATTGATAGCGTAAGGATCAAGAGATTACACGACTCGGTGTGTTATAAATAATCGAAAATCCTTTCCGAAAGCGCGAACGTGCTTGAAACGCGAAAAGCGGGGGGAACCGATATTTTCGAGAGCTTTGGTGTACGCACGCTTCGTTTGCGAAATGAAGTTACGAATGTCACGTTTGACGTATTTCTCTTGGGTTTAACGGCGGGAGACTGTGATGCGTTCGCAATAAATAGGTTTGATTCGCCGAGGTGAACATAAGGTTCGGAAGGTGAATATAAGGATCGGAAGAGTTAATTTTTTGGGAAAGTAAAGTAAGTTCCACTTTGGAACACGATAAACAGCAGGTTTATTCAGAGTCGCGACGATTAAAATAATTATTAATCCCGACTCGGTCAATATATGTATGAAATGTGTGCGCGCGCTTTGAAGAACACTCAAAATTGTCAAAATATCAAGTAATTGTCTTTGTTTCGATTGTCTGTTATCTTGAAGAGAAATTGCAGAAGAATTGCTTGCAATTTTTCTCACAACTTCTCCGCGGTAACTTTCCCTCAATCGACACATCCGTCTCTTGAGATCTTAAATGCTTTCTGGAAGAATCCTGAAAATGTATCGAGCTGACACTCGCGCAAGAAGAATCGACGTGCACGATAGCTTCGGGGGCTTCTCAGTAGCATCTGACGGTGCGAGATAATAGCGATTACACGAGCCAGATGATTCATAACGCTGGCTGATGCCGACGACCGTTTTCTCGAGCTTTTCGCTCGCTCGGAAGAAGGACAACAACAACGGCGACGGCGGCGCAAGATCTCGGGGTTAAGCCAATTTTGACAAGGACGATATATCACCTGACGCGACCCTCTTTCAGCAGATATCCCGGTCTCTTCCCCGCGGGCGCAACAACCTGTCGGAGGAATGACACTTTTCCGCCCTCGATGTCGGACCTTCGACCCTCGCACGCGCGCAAAGAAGAGTCGAATAATGTATCAATTTCTTTGTTCATTTACGAGAACGCGACTCTTCTTCATGTATCAGATATGAGTACAGCACGAACGCGCTATAACCAAAATTAATACAGGCATGATATTATAAGATGCGCGAGAAAGAGGGAGACAACGGAGCGCTTTAAAGTACTTACCGAACTTGCAAAGTAATCACACGAATGCAAATATTGTGGCATGAATAATTCGTTACTCGCGTAATAAGGGATCACAGCTCACGTGAGATTTGAACGCGTGTGACCGACATAAAGAGGGAAACGATCTACGAATGCAGATCTTTGTCGCACTTACCGAAGGTATTTGAAGTGCGCCGATTTATATAAAAAAAAAAAAACACAAATCACTTCGTAATAGGATTACAGGCGCGATCGTGCGCGCGGCTTTAGAAAACACAAAGTCGAGAGACGGTTTCTCACAATGTCGAAGTGCTTACTTTAAAGCGAGCTCACTCTTCTCGGCGAATACCACGGCGCTCCGACGCGATGCTCCTCCCTTTGACGACGCATTGCGCCTTCGAACGAAACATATGAGCCGCGGAGAAATGGAGAAAAGGGAAAAAAACGAAGCGGAATAAATTTAACTCAGATATGCGAAAGGTGGGTGCTGCGGCGGAATAGCTATCGTCGCGCCGAGAGAGCACATACTCCGAATTTGTCTGCCTCCGTCGTCGCGTTATCCATTTTAATTTATAAGCGTCGCATAATGCTGGCGTGTCCCTCGAGCAGTTAATATCGGCAAGCTACGTTAGCACATTTTCGAGCAGCCTGTGGTACGGCAAATTAAGCTCGCTGAAATTGTAGCAGTTCCGAACTCTCGACTTCTCTGGCGAGAACCGTGGATGCTTGTGTTCTCGCTCCGCTTAAACGCGGTAAGGGAGGACACGACGAGGGGGGAGGGGGAACGCGTGGAACGGCATTAATTATTCCTCCAGCAGCAACTTCCTGTTTGCGATCCACTCGACTTTTCGCTCGCAACACGCGTATACGCACTTCTTGCAAATACACGGCGTGCACGTCACCGGAAAAAAGAAGAAAAGAGGGAACGGTAAATCGAGACGACGGCGGCGGGAGGAATCACGAGCGAAAGGAGGTCATCTTCATTTTCTTCACGTCGCTGGTTACGGAAAGGAAATCTGTATACGGAATTTTTCATCGGTGCGGAAATCAATACGCGTGCGAAAATGGAAATTCGGGGCCGGTTACGCCGACGTCGTTTCAAGCTAAACTTAGTTAAGTAAATTCTCCTTTTCTCTCCCCCCCTTCTCTCTCTTTCCCTGTAAATTACCGATAAGATCATAATCTTGAAAAGTGAGTCAGGTTCGCTTAATCCAAGAAGAAAAGATTGTCAAGTTCTGATGAGATTTAAAGATTAGACGATGATTACAGCGTTCCTTCTGTCAAAAGCATGGATCACGTTGAACAATATCTTTGTAGATCTAGATTTGTCGTATTTCACGGGGGGCTAATATATATTGGCGCGTCCAGATTTATATATCGCGTCGAAAAGCATCGAAATGGAAAATCAACAAAGTATGAGACCGCCTCGGCGAAGAGATGTTTTGATTGTACGCAGCGGCGGTTTTCTACCTCGCCTACTGAATACTTTATACTGAACATCTGTTTCTTTCGTGATAAGATCAATATGACGGACAAGCCGAGCGGAGAGTAAAATCCTCGGACGGTTTCAGTACGAGAAACATTTCAAACGCAAATATATTTGTCGAGATATTACCAGCGACTTTTTGCGGGATATTCCGATCGACTCGCGCTGAGAAGTCAATCCTCCTTTCGTATATGTCACTCAAGCATAATTGGTGATCGAATCCCTATTCTTTCACGAAGAATCGCATTCGCCAGCCGTCCATGGAGAGCGCTTGAGCGAAATAATTGGTTATTTCTGTTTGTTAAATAAGAGATGCTTAATTTCTCGAGGCGAAATTAAGTATCTCTCGGAATTTCTCGGAACGAAGATGTACTCAAGACAAGTGTGTCAAAGGCGAAATTTTAAATTTACTCCGTGAAAGCGAAGATAAATTGTCTATCTCGGTGTCAAAACTCCAGCGTCGTAGTAAGCCACCCGGACGGAGGGCGGACAAATACGCGTGCGGGAACTGGAAGTTGAAATGCGAAATTGAAATCGGCAAATTGGCAAGCGCCGTTTTCACCGCGCGAGAAGCCAAAGTAATATCGAGCGCGCTTTCACCAATTTAATTCCACGAGTAATTAATGTTCGTTGTAATTAGTCCTCTTCAACTTTGCCACATAAATGATTAAAAAATCACAACTTATCAATTATTATTAATCGCTAATTAATGAAGAAGGAAACACTTCAAATAGAGTTATACCGAGAGAAAGAAATGTCTAAAAAATAGTAAATATTTATTTGACTACACACACACTAACAGCACATATTTACTTATATTAATATAAAATATTTTCAAGTAAGAAAATATACATTTCCTTAAAATCTTACTTTCTCCTGAGAGCACAATTATTTATTCTGTTTAAGTAAAAGAAATGAGACCTAGATAAATATGCTGTTAGTATTCACAAAATAAATATTTACTAAGCAGTGGATACTTTTTCTCTCAGTGGGAGAGAGCAAAGAGAGAAATATCTCGCGAGAAATCGAATGCGAAATTGAAGTCGACGGATTGGTAAACGTCATTCTCACCGCGAAAGTATAAGCCGAAGTAATATCGAGCGCATTTCCGCCAAGTTGATCCCGCGGGTGTAACTAATGTTCGTTGTAATTGATCTTCACACTCGGCTACATAAATTATCAGAAAATCGTAAATAAGCTATCAATTATTATTGCTCGCCGGCTAAAGAGGGAGGAAACTTCAAACAGAGTAAAGAAACCGTCTCGCGAGAAATATTGAGATGCAATATGCGGAGAGAGCCAAAACGGGAATTCCCAACGTAGTTTGATGGCACTTGAGACTAAAGGTGGTCTGTTCTCCGTCTTGCCTCCATTATTATGCGCCTCGCGGATCCACGAGTGCACATATTCGCGTAGGGTAGAACCTCGAGAGATAATGGAAGGGGATGGCGGGGGTAGGCGAGAGGGAGAAACTGACGATAACTTACAATTGGGAGCCTCTTCGTCGAGTGCGCCTCTCCTCATCAGGTACCAGGGGTTGGGCCACAGCTGGTGGCACTACGGGTGCGGATGACGAGTCCAGCTTAATCATTTTCTCCTCGTCCGCCGCGACCTCGTAGGGCTTCACCGCGCGGAAGGAAGGCCTGCGCCCTTGATGTCGGTCCTCAGGCTCTCGGCCGCCTGCGAAACACATGATCGTCGACGTTTTCAGGCTAGCTGCATTATCCGTGAGATATTTAATGTCACCCGCTATGAGCGAGTGAATCGTTTCGAATAACGGGACGCGCCGTCGATATAATGGGAGTGGAGTAGTTAAAAGAATAGCACGGGGACGGTGATAAATCGCCCCGGGCGGGCGACGAGAGTTTATCGATGTGACTGTAAATCGAAGTATTTCTCGCGTGAGTGTCTCTCTTCACGAGCAAGCAAGTAAACGTCAAAGTTGAAATAAATTGACATGGCGAATGAGAGTTGCGAAGCTGAAAATTGTTATAAATGAAATGTCTCGACGATAACGCCGTTGCGTTCATTTTCTCTGGTTGGTTAATGTTTTTTTTTTTTTTGTAAAAACACCACCGTTGATCATCAAAGCGCAATCGGGAAGCGCAAGCGTGATTATCTCAAAACAGATATCTATTTCACACAATGCGCTGCGCATTGTGATATGTTAATATTACGCATTTATTTTTGCATTTATTTCTCTTTATCGTGAAAATAACAGTGCTCATGTCGGATAACGTCGAACCGATATCGGAACAACGAAATATCATTTATCCGACAACAAAGGTCTGAGTGGGTTAAACATATTCGGAAGAAATAAAATGGTCGGTGGTGTGTTTCTGGTACTAAGGTACAATGCAGGTCGAGTGCCAGTGTTGTTTCTCTCTGTATCGTAAGAGGAAGTGGCGAATTCAACTCTTGCCTCTGTAGCACGAAGAAACACAGCACAGGTCACGATACACATACAGGGTGTCGGAATACATTTTCGCGCGACTCTGAATACGAAAATCCAGAAAACATTCGAATTGCAATCGATCGAAAGTGGTAGGACTGCTTGACGATTTATAGACTCGGAATCGCCATTGGGTATCTTTACACACATTTTATGATCTCGATCTTTATTCTTCATCTCATCCAAGACAAATTTTCGAAACAATTCAAACGGCAAAGTATTTGATATTGAGAAGAAAAAAGCGAAACGCAAATCAAATTTCTAATGAAGTTCTCGAGAAGACAAAATCTTCGCTGAAAGGTTTCGCATTCGAGAGAAGATCGCTATACTTGGGACACCTCGTATAGCTACATGTGCGCTTTCAAACCGGACCGACAATACGTTTTTTCGCGAGCTGCTTTAAACAGAAGATTTCTTATGTGCTCTCGCGATTCACGCGGAACTCATACCGGGCGAGGATATCAACGAAGCTCTCAGTCATGATGTGCTTTATTTCGTTTTATTTTCCTTCATGACGTAACGCGATATCGGTGCTTGCGAAACGACACATTACGTCGAGGATCGAAATAAAGCTGTGAAACGCCACACCTCGCAAAATTCAAACGCGAAAAGCACTCATCAGCTCGAACAACGCGTACAGTCGATAGCGAAACGGTTTGAATTTTTTTTTTTTTCTAATAAAAATAGTAATCCATCCAGTTGTCACATTTGAGGATCGCTGCTCAGGAATTTGCGCGATAGTCGCGGTGACGATAGAAGCCAATACGTGAAAGTAAATTTTATGTCAATATAAAAGCATCATAAATTTTATCTCAGCATATAAATGTATTAATACATCCGAGAGTATCAAACCGTTGCAATAGTGATGCAACAAAGAATTGAAAAATCTTGTATTTCAAATATAAGGGATCGTCTACAATATAGTCGCAGTTATGTTTTGAAGTCGTAGCATTAGTCCGCCAATCGATCATATATCTATTTCCTTCGCGTAAGCTCGTGAAAAATGAAAAGTTTTATTATTGAATTCGTCAATTGTGGATGATCCTTAAGAGAGACATCCGACGACACAACTTAAATTGCAGATTCAGGAAATATGTAAGCATAAAAATAATGCGAGAGCTCTCTCTCATGTATTATCTTCATGTTTACATTTTCTCTTAGGTTTTCAGAGTAGAATTTTCAGTTTAGGTTGTATCGTCGGATGTCTTTTATATTTAAGGCACAAGAGTTCTCAATTCTTTGAGCAACACTATTGCAACGACTTAAGTCGGAATATTCTCGGATATATTTGACATGTTTTCAGGTTGCCTTGATAAAATTTACTTTCGCACCACGTATTGCCATTTCGGTTCCCGTCATAACCAATCGCCGCGCAGGTTTGTGATTCTCGAATGTGACAGTTAGATGGGTTACCAACTTCATTGGAAACACAGTGCTCAAATTGTTTCGCTCTGGACTGTACGTGGACACTTCGCGCAGTGTGACTTTAAAACCGTATTACGTTTCTGCGTGACACATCGGAAATAGTTCCGGCAGGAAGTACGCCGCAAGTTCTCTGTGTGCATGACCTTTCCTGCGCGCGGGGTGAATGAGATGCGGGGTAGAAGAGGGATGAACGAGGGTAGAGAGAAGCCGAACTTCCATGTCGAGCTTGTTTGGCGCTTTCGATCACGCAAAGGCTGAAAATAATATGTGTGCGGTGTTAAAGTTAGAATGCGCAGTCACAGAGGCAAATCTCAGGATTCGCGCGACACACGTCGGGCAAACGTGATTGAATTGCATGCATGAAAATGGGAATTCTGAAACTAGTTTTGCGCTCGCCATTTAAACCTCCGCGTTACCCGCGACAAAACATCTAACGATGCTCCGCTCGACGAGCATCGTTGGTTGACATTTCGCGGATTAAAGCAAAATTTCATTTAGAGGGAACTCTTCAAGTCGAGCGCTTTTAATGGAGATCAAAAACGCAAAGAGAGAATGCAAGACCCCGCACGTGGAACTTTGACGATGCAAATATTTAACCCTTTGAACGCACTATGGTGCAAATTTGCACCATCGATTTCTTCAAAAAATAATATTTTCGAAATACGATCAAATGTAAATCAATTTTTCATTTTTTTATCGACTTTTCTACCATTACCGTCAGATTTTTTATTTTATTTTTTATATTAAATAAATATATTTAAAAATATATTTATATTTGTTTATGACATATTTAAATATTTCTTTTATTTACTTATTTATATAGGGAAGATTGAGGCTAGGTTACCGAAATAAGCAAAACTGGTTATCTTTAGTATTTCCTAACAAGAGTTACAAAATTAAGCAAGCAAGATTTTTAAATATTTCAAAGACGGCTTTAAAATTCCTGCTTGATCCTGAAATCTATTAAAGAACAGCTGAAATAATCGGTTTTACCAACTTACTCCGGTATAACTATAATTTACTCCAAATATAGCCCCGATCTCTTTTAGACTTTTATTATATTTATTTACATATATTTATTTATATTTATTTGAATATATTTAAATATTTTTCATATGAAATAAAAAATTGAAATTGATTAGTTCGGAACCGAGCTATAAGTTGGCAAAAGTCGTTGATACAAATACGCATTTGTGTGCTTTTAGTGTCTTCCGCCAGATATGTGTGTTCGAAGGATTAAATTAGGGACTTTGTTTCTCTTTTTCTCCCTTCTCCTTTTCTGAGAAATATCTCGGAGAAATGTTTAATAAAAACGAAAGTAGCGGCTGAAAGAACTGTGACCGGAAGGACCGGCGAGTTTCGCGCAACAGAAGAGCGGACGACCTACGGATAGGGATTCGAGGATCGCGCTAGGGTCGAAATATGCTTAAGCGAAAATCGGCTTATTCATTTCCTCGAGGTCGCTCTCGCCTTTGATGGAAACTCCGAACTGGCGGCGCATCCACATAATGGAGCGAATCCGGGGAGTTAGGGTGAAACGGGAAGCGAGGGGGAAGAAGTGAAACAATGCACGTGGGTGGAGCTGTTGCTCGACAAGGTCTATTCGATTATCCTGGCAGGTAGCTTCCTGGCCACCCTTAGGGCCTCCGAAAGCTGTTCGTGGGTATGCGCTTTTCCTTGAACTCGCCCTTGCTGTTCGCGAATACTAGCTGCGATATCTCGCAAACGCGCAATACAGCGGAGAGAAATCAGAGCACGTGTTGCGTTAGTTCGCGCAATCGGTGGGGAAGCGCGGGGGTGAAATTGAGAATTTCGGTACCTTCGTCTGCGCCGAGGATCGAAGCCGGTAGCAGCCGAAGGTTCGCTCCCGGGAGCTAGCCGAGAGGCGGAAGATAGCGTCGTTTCGCGAGTGAATTTGCGAGGTACTGCTGCGCGCGCGCACACGAGATATACTGCGTCCGTTATAGCGCATCTCGCTATCGGTAAACGGCTTCTGCTGTTTCGGCGTAGCCTCTCTAATGGATGAAGTTATGCAAAATAGCTGTGATATTTCAAAAATGAGGTCGCAGCACTCGATGAATGTGACAGCGTTAACCCTAATGCGAGCGTGCGACGCGATAGATATCAAAGCCGTTAGTTTCGAGAGCGATATTTTTGAGGTCAAAATAAAATACGATCGTAAAAAAAAGTTGAAATTGAAGTTATGAATCTTCCAAGTGTGAATGAAATTTCTCTTATCTACCGCGACGAGTCTCCTAAACGCACCTTGCGCCGAGATCGATGCTCTTTGCTGGGCGGCGGCGATAGCCATCGCGTTGAGGCCGCTGCTCCCGGGCGTGGCGTATACGTCGTAAGCTGAAGCTCGTCTCGGCAGTTGAACCGGAAGACCTAGGCCGGTGTCGGAGTGCGCGGGCTGCACGCCGCCGCCGGTCATCGCGGCTGCGGTTTTTATTTCATCGTCGTAAGATCTTTGCCTGGTCACATGGGATTTACGGCGAATCGTTCCGCCACCGCGACGAGCGCGACGCCGACGTTCCTCCTCGTCGTCCAGGTCGCCGCCATCCTGCTCGATCGCTTTAATAAGCGAATAGGAACACATTAAGACTCGGTGCTCGTCATAATCGTCATAAATCGAAGAATATGTTAAGAACGTTCCGCGATTATTGCAATTTAACGCTCAACATATGAGAGAAAAAAAATATTACAGTTTCTTTTTTATATAAATTCTTTTCAATTTTAGTATACTGAGAAAAATATATCTAAAAATTAACAAATATTTATTATCATTAACATATTTACTTAAGTCAAAATTCTTTTCATTTAAATTTTTTATTTATTGTTTACTTGATAAAGTAAATAAACAATACTCGGTTCAAATGAAGAGATTACAAAATGCTGATCCGTTGCTCCGATTGCAAAAATCTAGTAAAATAGTAATTTTTATTACAAAATTCCGTCGATGTAACGACTGCCGATAATCGATAGCAACGACGATAGTTATACACTGTTAAATATTGGAGGGTCAAATTTAAACCAATTTCTTGAGTTAAATAATATTTAGTTATTTTTAACTATCATGTGTGTCAAAATTTACTATTTTAACACAAAACATGTGTTTAAAAAAACAACCACATCTAATCAGCCCATTTAAAACAATATTAAGTCATTTTTTACTAAAACAAAGGTTACATTAACGTGCATATAATAAAAAATAAACTAAATTTTAGTCAAATTTAATACATTTCTTAAGTTAAATTATTTAACTCTATTACATTAGTTAAATTAACGACATATTTAGTAGGAGCAGTGGCGACTTATAGGAATGGTTAAAAATAACTCAAATTGAGTATAATTTGACACTACGGATTTAACAGTGTATAGCGTAACAGCGTAGCCTCGATGATAGAACTTGTGTTTTAACGATCCTTACCACCCGTCTGAGACGGCATGACCATCCTTTGAGGGCTGGTCGCTCTGCCTCTGTCGGACTGATGACGATCGGGCGAGCCGCCCCTCGACTTGCTCTTCCGGTCCAGGTCGCGTTCCCACCTGAGCTCCTCGCGGCGCTCCCCTGCAACCTTTCGAAACTACAACATTACGATACATAGATTAGGGCACGATGTGGGAGACGTCACCACATGTAGGCCGTGAGTAAGGGCAGGGGGAAGAAGTCTGCGGGCCCCAGCACGATAAGGGGTGCAAGTAGGATTATGCAGCCACAGACTGACACCTAGAAGCTGACGATTAAATCAACGCACAAAGATCAGCTTGTGAACGCGTTCTTGCGGTCGCTTATATGATCGAACGAAGCTGCTCGCGCGGGCTCAGTCCGATTTCGCTTGAATTAGATTAATTCGAACGCGAGAACGAAGCTATCAAGTCAGAGAGCTATCACAGAGAGGGTCGGGTCGTACTCCGCGAATTATCGAATACTATTATACTCCGCTCGTTCGTATACATTGCTGGAAACAATTAGAGAATCGCGACTGAATGAATGATTTCGTTGAATAGTTCTACAACTTGAGGATACTTAGAGAGGTATTCGGCGGTATTTCGAACTATTAGGCAACTACGGGTATTTGAACGCCTGAATTGTTTCGAACAGTGCGTTTCCTTTATTTCCCCTGTGTATATCTGCTTCTGCTTAATTTCAATTTAAGCGAGTTGGATTATTGCGAAAGGCTACACGGTAGATGGTTGAATTTATGAAAAACCACCTGTGATGTTAAGCTTTTGTTTTTCCCGCGAATCAATTGTTACTCGGATAAATAACGAGTCCCTTTCCGTAAATAAAACGAGCAATGGTGTCGCGCTCCAATGTGACATGAATCGGTTTTGTATGGTTAAAATGAAAAGCTCACGTCCACCTGCACACTGCAACAAAGACAGTTCGTCACGTTCGAGAGTCGACACAGTAGTAAGCCGTCCTGATGGTGAAAATTAATAGCGTTCCCGGTATGCTTGCGGGTAACAAGGAAGCGGACCGGCCGCCGCGAGAACCAGCCGAGAGCCTGCGATAATAATGAAACAGCCGCGTCCGAAAATTAACTTCGTCCAGGCTTCGTCACGCGATCCTACCGGCGCCGCGGCTGGCATAATTACACATCGGCAGCAATTAAAGTCTGCAGAGAGGAGCAAGGGCGTGTGTTTCTCGTGTTAGTCATGTACGAGGTGCTTTTAGCGTTAAGACAACCGTTAGCCTTTTGTAGTACGAGCTATTTTCGGAGCTTCCCAGTTTACATTCTATTCACGTAACTCACGTCCATTTAGCTATTTCGATATCAGCAATATATCAATGTATCCTCCTAAATTCTTGTTCCTTTAACACATGAGAGAGAGATAGATAGATAGATAGATAGAGAGAGAGAGAGAGAGAGAGAGAGAGAGAGAGAGATATTGTCTGTGAAAGACTTATACAAATTTTTTATTTTTAAAATTGAAAAATAAATTTTATGTATAGGGAGTCACACTCTCCTCCGGGAATTTTGTGGGGACGTAGAATAGATTGAGGTGAACATAAAAGTCCTATACCGTTTTGCGATATTCGCAATAATTATCGAAATATTAATTGTAGAAAACTTGTAAATGATCATGCAGAATATGGTAAATGAGTTATAGTAGCGACGACTGTACTTATACTTTAGGTCAAATTGAACAAAAAAGTTCTCTACCATTTTCCAAATAATCACATAGATTTTTAATTATTAGTTAATGAAGATTATTGCACGATTTTGTGTGATAATGCACTATCTTCTTTAATTAATAATTAAAAATCTATGTGATTATTTGCAAAATGGTAGAGGACTTTTTTCTTCAATTTGGCCTAAAATGTAAGTACACGATGGTAGTCATCGCTATTATAATTCATTTACCATATCCTGCAGGATCATTCACAAATTTTCTATAATTAATATCTCGATAATTAATGCGAATATCGCAAAACGGTACAGGACTTTTATGTTCACTTCAATCTGTTCTACGTTCCCAAAAAATGCCCGGAGGAGAGTGTGAAACATCCTGTATATAGAAAAAGAAAATGTTATAATAAAAATTATTACAAAATTTTGTAATTGAAAAACAGACATTTCTGCAGTAATTGATTGTCCCTTCATTTTACATGTGTTATTTATATTTTAAGAGTTGAAACGTGTTATTAAAAGATTTACTATATTTCTAGCGAAATTTATTGTGTTTTTTAACAAAATAGATATCTTAAATTGACAAATCTATTTATACACTGTTAGAAACATAAAAAAACTGAGAAGAATTTATATAAAAAGAAATTATAATACTCTCTCCGCGCGCGTGTAGATTAAAAGAGAAAACGTGTCGAAAATGTTGCGCGTGGCTAAAATAAAACGTAGCTGAAATGAATAGTTCTTGGAAAGGAACGTACGCTGTGTGCAACGATCGAAAAGATTAATGTACCAAAAACGACTGGCGGAGATTGGTTGAGACGAAAGTTGATATCGAGTCAGACTCGATGTCGCAGAACTTCTAAGGATTATCATCCGTGGATGACGCGATGCCACGTATGACCCTATTCGCTACGTTTCGTTAGCTAGCTCTGTACTAGAGTTCCTCAAGTCAGAGTTAGGACACTGTCCGCCATTTGTAGGGAGGAAGTGAATCAGTGAGTGAGAGAGGAGTTTGGATTGTTTAGCAAGAAAAAAAGACAAAGAATTTGGAGAAAATCGAATGAAGCACTCTGACAAAAATGCATCTCGTACAATGTAAAACACGGAAGAGGTTCCATTATGGTGTGGGGCTGTTTTTCTTTGCCCCGTGTTAGAAATTTAGTGTTATTTGACAGAAATATTAACGCTGTGCGATATATCGAACTCGTTAATAAAAATTTGGAAGAATCGATAGAAAAAATGGGTATTGCTAACGATTTTGTCTTTCAACAAGACAACGCTCCCATACATATCGCCAAGTAAAAGTGAGACAGAAACTGCGACGTACTTCGTCTTAGAGCTTCTCTCTAATTTCTGGTAGAGCTTCTCTCTCACTCCCACTCACATGACTCCTCAAAATGGCGGACAGGATGCGGACCAATCATCATGTTTTGTCCTAACTTTGACTACAGGAATTCTACCTCGTGCGAAAAGGTGGCGCTGTACCAGAACGCAAAACCCACTTTCGAGCATCTGTCGCGTGCATAAATATTCACGGCGGTGCAGTGCACAAGCATTTTAACGCCGTCGTCGACGACGACGACATCTTTGCGCGAAGAGACGTCGTGTTTCTCCGGCACGTCGCGATAATGTCTTCCCGGCGAAACGACGTTACGACCTTCGCGTACTTCGCCATCGCGAAGTCCATTCGACGAAACTGGGTCGCCGTTGGGCCGACGATTTTCGAAGTTCGCGCCGCGGAGATGCATCGGCCACATCGGGGATGCACCACCATGCCGCGCATCACTCGGATGATAGCGGTGGCGGCGGTGATAGTGGTGGAGGCAGCGGTGGAGGCAGCGGTGGTGGTAGTGGTGGTGGTGGTGGTGGTGAATTATCGCTTACCCGGTGGTAAATTATCCAATAGGTGTCTAGCCGGCACGTCTAAGTGCACGTAGAGCCGATGCCGGTACCGTTATGTAGGGCGTCTCGCTAACGTAATGTAAGCGGCAAATGCAAGTTTAATCCGATCGCATATGTATCTGCACTTACAGTCGCGCGTGATGCTAAAAAATGTACGACGGCTGTGTGAACTTTGGACGCGCTGTATGCTCCAATAATCAAAGAGTATTTAAATCAAAATCTATTTAGAGTAAGAGAGAAAGAAAAAGAGAGAGAGAGAGAACGTTTATTTTGGAATAATACACGTTCCCCTCGAAAATCAATCTATTCGCTACGCTATACAAAGTGTTTGACAATTATTGACACACTCAAGCGTAGAGGAATTTTGTGTTCAGTTTGATAAGCTCTACTTGCACGTAACGAGTGTGTCAACGATAGCTGGACACTTCGTATAAAGCTAAAAGAGGAAACATCGTTAAAATATAATTTCTTTAATCAAGCGTTAATAACAGAATTAAAAACGACTCCGCCGCGCCGGGCGTTGTTCCGTATTTACGTGGTAATCCGATTAACGCTGTGCCGCTGCGAGCGGGTTTGAATCGCAACGATCGCTTCGGCGCCTTTGTACTTCGATAATTGGCCTTGTCTCCATCCCTCAAACGTCGCGATTGCATTTCCCGTGATTTCGCCCGGCGTCGTCGTCGTTGTCGTGCCGTTCCATCCGTCAGGTCGCGCGTTTAACCGATCGCGCGAAACCGGCAGCCGTGACGCGTATCGAAGTGAATTGAATCTCGAGATGGAAAAAACGCCAGCGACAATTACCGCGAGGAAGATAAAACGTCTGGCCCAACGACGTGTTTTCACAGGCGACCTAACGCGAGCTGTCGCGACCGATAAACTCCAGAATTAGCGTCCACCCTCGTAAATACGCCCTCGTAAATATTGTCCCGGGTTTGCGCACGTCTACGCCTAAATGCTCGTAGAACGTATTTCATCACGTCGCAGCGAACATCGGGCAAAGCGGATTTATACGATCGCTCTTCCGAATTCATTCCCTCCGTTGTCTTGTCTACCGAGCGCGTCAAATTCGCGAATAAATGAAAATAGCACGCGTTGGATTTATAAAAAGAAATTAAATGTCGTACAATTCATAGACGTATAAAAAAATGTAAGAAAAAGAGAGAAGAATAATTTAAGAAAAATTTGCTTATATTAATCGCCAAGAGCGACAAATTCAAACTTATCTCAAGCAAGTTCAACTCAGGTTTGAATTTCTCAAGTTAGATGCGATTTCCTCAGTAGAATTATTATTCGAAGTATTATGTCACGTTTATCATTATATGATTCAGCTAGAAAGCTCAGATCTAACTCTAAATTCCTGTCAGAGCATCTTACGTGAGATAAGTTTCAAGTAAAGATTCTTAATGTGTTTTAATCACGACTACTTGAAGCGCTGCGATTTGTTTCGATAAAAAGTGTGCTAACCGTTTTGTGACCGTTTTGCATACACAGTGAACGATTCTCAGTTCGCGCCACAACTAAAGCTAAAAGGTTAAAAAATGAGAGAGGTGAGACGAAGCAAATCTCGACAGAGAAGAGGCGATGGCAATCGGTTGCGATACCACGGAAGCGGCATAGTTATTGTGACCTTTCCGCGCGTTAAGTGACTGCGTATTCAATGCACTATCACGAAGATTTTCGACTTGGTCGCCTCCATTCTCTTGTTTCTGTCGATTCTCTCTCTCTCTCTCTCTCTCTCCCTCTCTCTCTCTCTCTCTCTTTCCCTTCTCCCTTCTTTCTCTCTCATTTCAATTTCGCTCCGTTCTCTTCCGTTTCCGCAGTCGTTTCCGTTCCGTGCCCGGTTCGTCCGATTATTCCGCCGGGCGACAAAAACGACTTGTCGATAAATTCTCCCGGGGTGAGGCGTCTACCGCGGTACCTCGAAGTTGTCGGCTCGCAACAATGTGAGGCCGCTGCCAGTCTCGGTGTCGCGTCGATCGATAACCGAGACTTCGATAAATTCAAGGATATTAACTCGCGTAAATGTCACATCCTGCGAACGAACGAGGTGCGTTGTAAAATGTAGAACATGTGGGGAACGCGGCGATGAGGGATCACGCACGGAAATTTTGACGCATTACCGACAACTCATTTTTCGCTGCGCGAAACACAAGAGACTAGAAAACGTCATTTCGTTTATCTCCCTTGCGACACTTCAACATTTTCTACGACTACGACGAAGAGCTTATTATTTCAAGAAATGGGGATAATGTCCACGACCCGCAGTGATTTTTCAAAAATTTCAATTGGAAATTGCTTCTCTCGAAAAGAACTACGGAGAGATTCATTTCAAATTTATATTTTTGCAGAATGTGAATTAGAGTACAGTCATAGAGATATGGAAAACCTTGCAACGCGTTCTCCTTTTCTCTCTCTTTTTTTATACAAATTTAATAGTAGTAACTTAATATTATTTATATTAACAATAATTCCCCGACGTCATTGAAATAAAAAAAATAAAAAAGAATATAAATTGGGAAGATTCTGATAAAGTCAAACAGTCTTCAAGAGCTTAGCGCAGCTATATCGCAGTATTATAAACTACATTAGACTTACATGCTCACACATACAAGTCAAAGAGTAAAATTTATTATTATAAACATAAGTGTCGAGACGTTTCGGTCCCACCTTGGACTCTTTTCAGTGTAGCAAATATAACGATACACCAAAGAATAAGATAATATCGAAACAAATAATGATAGTCGTTTATTAAACGGCACGTTAGCCTTTGTCAAATCAATTACTTGGGACAATTGAGAAAAAAGAAAACATATACAGATGGAACGGCACGTAAATGAGCTCGTCGATCGTCCAAGAACTCCTTTTTTTTCAAGTGATTCGGTGCGCACAGCTCTTTTCTCGAGGTGGCAAAATGCGGCCTTTGTTACGATGCATTTCCAGCTATCCGGCCGGATGCTGCGCGCCCTCGAAGTTCGCGCCTACGACCGCGCGGTAATTGCACGTCCGATAATTGTCCGTCCGAGTAATGAGAAGTCTGGCTGGCACACATTCAACGCCGCGGCGGTCGTCGATGCATTCGTTCCGCGCGCGCCGTGTGCGCCTGCAACTGCTCTCCGACGAGAACGCACGGTATACGCGCAATAATCATCGAGTAGTCGAGCTCGACGTTGTGCTCGACATCACGCGGCACCTCGTTAAAAGCTATACCGCGCGGCGAGAACGAACGGCCGTCCGACGGCTGTGTCCGAGCAATTTATGACATCCCGTAAATGATCGTCGATGAGTCCCGGCGGTGCGTGATTAATAAGTCGGATCATTGGAGCGTCCATTTGTTCGCTATCGCACCTAAACGGCTGGAAGCGGCTTCGCTTCATCTCGGAGAGACGTGTGCTTCGTTGCTTCGAAAAACTCTGCCGAGCTGAAGTGACACAGTCGCTCGCTCCTCTCTGATCATCGATTTTTTAACCGGTTCACTGGTGAACTCGGAACTAACGTTTTGTGCCAAAACTGGTGAGAACAAAAAATTCCGCATTTTACGTGGAAGCTTATCTAATAAGGGGTTTTTTAGGTAACTGATTACGAATTCGAGGTCAAATTTGTCCTGTTACCGATACTTTTACCCTATGCACCCAAAACTAATATCCTTTATATCGTTCATTATATTTCCAGTGTCATATTTTCTCTAAAGTCAATTCTGAATATATTTTTATATTGTTTTATTTTATAATTTATAATATGAAATTCATAATATTTCCCTAGCTAATAACCCATACAGAATCTCTTGGGGACGTTCCACAGATTTCCTGAGGACGTAATTTCCAAACGTCCCCAGGACGTTCTCAGGACGTCTCCTGGACGTCAATTTGTGCTGTTAGGAAACGGAGTATCCATGGAATCATACCGAATATCATACCGAGTTTGTTCTGTAATGTATCTGTAATGGAATATCAAAGTTAGTCATTTGAAGCTGCCATATTGGATCCGTCATTTTAAATTTCTCAAATTTGACCTTGGATTCTTAATCAGCGATCCAAAAAACATGAGGATAGCAAGTTACATGCAAATCCGTTTAAAACTGGCGGAGATATACAGCGAACATATATGTGTGCTTACCAGTTGTGGCACTTTTTTTTCCTACACATATGTGTGCTTACTAGTGAACCGGCTAAGTACCGTGACGAACGTGAGAAAAAGATATACAGGGTGTCCCGAAACTACCGCATGCTATTTTAATGGCAGATATTCTTTAGAACATTTAAAAACGAAAACTTTCATACAAAAATGTCGAGACTATTATAGTTTTCAGACGGGAAGCGATTATATTTCACGAATAACTGAGATTTCGCGCGCTCAGGTACGCCGAAATGACAAGTGATAAAGGTACTCCTATAAATGTCACTTTTTTTACGATATTATGATCATTGTATAAATTTACAATAACATTATCATAATATGTCCACTATTCTATACGGCGTATGGTACCTTTATCACTTATCATTTCGGCGTGTCTGAGCGCGCGAAATCTCAGCTCTGTTATTGGTGAAATATAATCGCTTCCCATTTGAAAACTATCATAGCCTCGACATTTTTGTATGAAAGTTTTCGTTTTGAAACGTTCTAAAGAATCTGCAATTAAAATAGCATGCGGTAGTTTCGGGACAGCCGTATATATATGAGGTATGAAAAAAAGAATAATAAATACGATTTAATGAATAACGAGATTCTCCGCGTGTGGTTTTTGCACGACACGAGATATATCGCCCGTGGCGGCTGGATATTGTAATAAAAACCAGATCGCGTTACATAATCAGCGATGTTTCGAAAGCGCGAGGGCGACAAAGCCGGCGTTGAATCGTGCCGTATTGTGTCAACGGTTATAATCAGAACGAAATAATTCGACATCACTCTCGAGCGGGGCGAGGCGCGCTCCGTTGCATAATACAGTGGCGTGCAAGAATCTCGGCGAGTGTGGAGTATGTATAATGCATTTGAGAGACAACAGCGAAGTGTAGCTCAAGCGTTGAAGCGGACACTCAAAGCGTAGGTGACACACGTCGACTCTCGCGTGGCTAATCCGGCGGCATTAATTCCGCACGCGGCAACTACCACGTTTTTGCGTATAACAATATTCCTCAGGATATTGAATTATGCATCTCGGTAGAAGGAGAGGGGACCTCGTGCGATGGTAACTCGCGTGAAAGTAACATCGAAAGCCAATATGACGTCAAACGATATCGCGCACGTACGCGAAACGCGGCTCGACATAATTGAATTTTTTATTACAATTCCCGATTTTAATCAAGTCTATCGTAAAGGAATTATTCCGTCGCATTCGACTAGTTCGATGTCATTCAATTTCATCAGAAGAGAAAGAGTTCCTTTCTGCATCATCTGTTTTAATGTAAGAAAAAAAAATTTCCTTTCCGTTAAACCAATTAATTAAATAATCCGGATGTCGCTGAGGGCTGAAAGTGATTACTTTAAGTTTCTTCTAAATTTATTTATTTTTGGATAATTTGTCGATTTGCCCGTAGTTGCGATCAAACAAGCGTAATCATTTCTGAATTGTTTCCTATTCATTAATGATAATAATAATAATAATAAATTGTGGATTAATAGAGGGAAATAAATAATTCCGACGAAATCCCGATTGTTAAAGAATACAAAAATTGAATCATGCAGAATATTTCCATCGTCGCGATTGCATTCACTCCATAGCAGCTAATACCGCGGATTCGACGTGAATCTCGTCGCGGCAAACACAAATCTCACCTCATATCGCGGACGATTTCGTGAAGATGATGAAAGCACAAATCGGCGTATAAATCGGCGCGTATCTCGCTTACCTTCTCGAGCTCCTTGAGACTGGCCGGCGAAACGTCAGAGTGCCTGCGGATTTCCGGGCTTCGCGGCGGCGCCAGTCCGCTTCCGAGCGCGCCGATTTGACTTCCGGTGGGACCGAGCCGGGCGTCGCTGTGCCTCCTCTGGAGAGCTTCCAAGATCGGCACGTCCAGCAACGAATCCGTGGACTCTTGTGTCACGATGGGCTGGTCCCTCGAGGCGATCTTTCGACGGCAGACGCTACATCGCCAGGAAGACTGCAACGTTACCGGGAAAAAGGCAATTTCACTCATCGGCGCGCGCGGACGTTTATCGTCGGCGGGAGGCTCCCGTGTTCGCTCGATGTCAATGTGCCGGCTCTCTCCGGTTCTAAGTGCTTCCTGGTCTCGATGCGGATCGAGGTTTCCGCTCGACTGACTGGCCTGTTCATCGACGGAGGAGCTGAGACAATGGTCTCGGCTGCCCCGAATTGGTAATCCAGACTGACATATCGATGAGGCCCGATTAAGTCGCAAGATGCGCTCCGCATAAATCAAGTTTGCGCGAGCGAGTGTACGTATACGCGACAGGTCGGGGACACAATGGCCGCGGCGAATCGTTGTTGGGGAACATGTTGATTAATTAATCGAACGAAACGCTCGGATCAATTAATAGCGCGATGAGAGAGGACTCTGCTCATCTCCCGCAATAATCCCGCCGCAATTCCCGAGCAATTTTTCAATCCGCGACCTGTGTTGGTGATTTCGTGGCTTACGCAAAATTGCACGCCATTCTTCCTACGACGGACGAACGGATGGACGGCGATATATTACTGGTGCAGCGCGGCGATGTGAATATCACTAATTTCAGTTCTCCATCGTGAATGTCGCCGTCCCGAATATTGTGTAAATTTCGTATATTTGCATAATCGGATTATCCGAGCGACGTTTCGGTCCATTTATAAAACGCAGTTCTAACTGCGTCATGCACGTTTCGCGAAACAATGTTATTCTCTCCCTCCCTCTTTCTCTCTCGATGTGCGACGAGTGCGAGAAGTAGCAAATGGAGCGCGCGCGAATGTAGATCTTGAAGTGTGCTAAATATGTTGTTTCAATCATATTTACGCTCGCACGACTTTTCTCGCAATTTTCATACTTGCTGTTACATATGGAGCTAGTAATAACAGTAATAATAATAGTAATTATAATGACAACAACAACAACAATAATAATAATAATAGCAATTATGTTCATTTCATTGGAAGCCATAAACGTTACAAAACTGATACTTGATTATATCAAATCTTGTTATCATATACAAAAGGCAAAATAACAGCTTTGCAGCTGATGTATTATTGTTTTGTCTAACTACTTTATAATTATATAACATATGTAAAAAATTGAAGTAACCAACTAAGGAACTCAAGAACTAAAACTCAAGAATTAGGATAGAAGCTAAAAGCAGAAGAATGTACAAAACAGATAGAACGCATTTTTTGACGGTATCGAGCGAGTGCACGAAGACGTCGCGATAAACGGAGACGTGAAATGATTGAGCGGAATTGCGGTGAATTCGCATTGATCCCGCGACAGTGCAGAAGAGCGCGTCTCATTCGCTTCGATCCTTACGTCTCCGTCTCGAATGTCGATGAATTCATCGGATTCATCCCAACGGAGTAATTCAAAGGCGCGCGGGGGTGCGACGAGCGGATTCGCCGACGGATTAAGTCGCGTCGGCTGATTAATTTTCGTATCGGCCGGCGGCGGGTCGCGAATAAATTTCCATTCGCTTCTCACGCCGTGGGACTGCCCCGACCGGGAAGCTTATCCGCGTTTATGATAATTTAACGAGATTTCGGAGCTAATTGCTTTCTTTGCCTTCTCTGCCCCGTGAGAGACAGAGATCGTGAATTTAATTATTAACTGCGGGAGAGAGAGAGAGAGAGAGAGAGAGAGAGAGAGAACGGCGCTTCGCGGCGGAGGGTGTGTAATTGTTTTAGCGATTTCGTAAAAAGGATGAACGGTCCAAAAGAGCGGGATCCCGGTAATTTGTATGAGCGCCACGTGTTGCCGTGGTAGACAGAGGTTCTCTCGGCGTAATGACGGTACTCGGAATGAAAATTAGCGAACAATATAAAGATAGATGTAGATAGCTTGATTTACACGAGCCGACGTATTAAGCCCCGTATTAGGAGTCTTCCGTCCGTCCATCCATTCGCCTATGTCACTCCCCGTGAACCCCTTAAGGATTTATTATCCTCATCGATCGGCAATTAACTGTCCCTTTGACATTCGCATGCCGTCGAATGTAGGTTACTGAATCTCTGTTCTCTAAGTTGTATCCTGGAAAACTTTTTCGTAACGTACGAGTTTTAGTTGCACTCTTAGCTCGCATTCTTTGAACAGTTGCAGCCACAAAAATATAATGCCATCTTTTAGGCGGAATACTCTAATATATATTCTTATTATTCCTCGAGAGGATTCTTCTGGAACCAAAAGGAATATATTCCAAGAATAGTATTCTTAAAGTTAAAGAAATTGCGTCTTTTGTCTACGATACAAGTTTTGTTTGCTTGTCGCGTTTCGTATCGCGCATATCGGGGTCATTTTGCTTCAAGTAAAAAAGTAAAATATATTTCTCGATGATTCAAAAGAGTTCCTTTTTCTGAGCGTAACATCAGCGATTTTCTGACGTCCCTTGTTCCTTCATGGTTATCAAAGGGATAATTTATAAGCCGTTAGGATTGCGGAAAATCAAAATGCTGCAAATAATGAAAACTTTTGTGTGTACATATTGGAAACTAAAGAAAAATTAAACGGGGGTCGGGACTTTATAGTTAATAATGCGAAATGTCGGGCGGAGCTGGCGATCTCGATCGTAAAAGGGGTAAACATTCAGGAGAAGCGGTGAAAATGCCGCGATTAATTACGGCGTCATCTGCAAAATTAGATTTTCACGTTCGATTCGGCCTCCATCCTCCTCACGGATCGTCCCTCCTGCCTGTGTTTTCCTCTCGTCCGGTCCGACGATTAATTTGCGTCCAGACGCCGTCCAATCTCGTTTTACGGCAATATTTACCGGCGCAGGGAATAATGAACGGAGCCGGTTAATTAGAATGGTGGCGGCGTGCAAACTCACCGGGTCGTCGGAATTCGTTGTCGTTGAATACGAGGCGCAGTCCTCGCAGACCTTGTGTTGACACTCGCAACAAGTTCGCGAGACCTCCTCGGGAGCGAAGGATTTTCGGCATACTCTACAGTCGTCCCCGCTGCTTGTCTTGCCTTCCGACTTTCTGAAACAGCCGACCCGATGAACCCCGTTAAAGCGTGGGCCCCCTCATTTCGTTCGGCGCGACGATTTTTCCGAGCACGTACTCTATTACGAGCGTGATCGCTGTGCCGGCCATTGTTGGGCTTTCGAGCACTCGCATAAAGTGCTACGTGACGCAATTACAGTGTACCTTGCAGAATAAACAGAGCATGCTTTCACGATAACAAGGAGTAAATAATTATGACAACGCGACAATGATGAGTACGCGTGTAGCAAAGTATCGGGGAGTTCATTTGAACGGAGCAAAATATTGTGGTACATTTGAATAATGACACTCTCTCTTTTACTTCAATCAAAAGAATATTGCTGCCTCTCTGTTGTGGTCTATAAAACAAATATTATGGTTGAGAAATCCGTAGAGTTTAATTGCACCATACAGCACTGAGACTGTTGTTCAAAGATAGATAGGCAGTAAAGAAGATTAGTGTTCCACTTCCACAGAATACTACTATCTTGCATGTATGCGCGAAAACTAACAATAATATTTTGTTATGACATATTTAAGACAAATAATATCGTTAGTACTTTCCCCGTGAAGTTACCAAAATTTTATACCAAAATTACCGGAATCCCGGTAACATCAATCAGAATTCCGGTTCGTTCTTATTTCACCAGACATTTGGTTGATTTAACAAAATCTTTTTGATGAGAACAAAATCTTTCTTTAAGAGAACATAATTATCAATGATGTTTTTTTTTTCACGTCACACTTTACACGTATCCCGATTCCACGTATTTTCTATTTTGCGCTGTGAAGGGATTATCAGCAGTCTGTTAAATCCAGCGCAATGGGTTACTCTTCCAGCAGTATTCTCGTTATTTGCACGGGCGCGGGTTACTTAGGCGATCTCCAACGAATCAATCCACGGAGCCCCTAATGGACGAGCCGTATTAAATTTCACTCGGTCGTTGGACGTGCGCGAACCAAGCCGAGGCGACGACAGAAATGGAGAAGGTCGGTCGTACCTGTTTAAATTGGCAGTGGACTTTATGGATAACGTTGTGCGTTTGCAGTTCGCAAATAAATTTTCGTTCGCTCTTGCGCAAGACAGCGCAACTCACGAAATGTACCCGCAAAATAGCTGCTATTATCCGGGCGAAATGTTTCCGGCTAGATCACTGCGTTTGACGGAATGACCAGTGGAACTTTGTCGTACGAACGTCGGACTGAATCGCGTATTAGAAATTGTCGCAACTGTTACATATTAACATTGCGGTTACTGAGGTGGAACATTAAGACAATTCAGTGTTGCAAACGTACGACACATTAATACACGAATATTCATTTTTTTTCTTGCACAAATTTCGCACGAGAAAAAAAGAAAAAATCGAGATGAATCTTGATCAGTATTGGGCATTAATCGAGGAAAATTTTCTTTAGCTAATGTATCGACAAATTGATAAACAAAATTAATCGATCGTCATATGTAAAATCACAAGTAATCGACTGATGAAATTAATTATTAATCAAACTTTAATTCTACATATCGATTAATACACTGAGACAAAAATTTACTAAATTTAAAAAAACGTTTGTTTGGATAGTACTGTGAGGATATTTGTTTAATTTAAGTAATTATTTTCTAAAATTAAAGAAACAAATTTATATTTAAAACTTCTTTATTTAATTTTAGAAAATAATTACTTAATTTAAACAAATATCTTCACACAGTACTATCCAAACAAACGTTTTTTGAAATTTAGTAAATTTTTTTCTTAGAGTAGTTAATTTCATCAATTAATTCAATTCGACTAAATTCGTAATCAGATATATGATGATTAATTCATTGATATCTTGATTATTGATTCGTCGACTATTTTTTGGTGCAAGAAGATTTTCATCGATTAAAATGCCAAATATTCTGATCTCAATATTATTAAAATGATATAAATGATTTTATCAAACATGCTGTTGCAGTGATTCTTTTATGATACGTTTCCCAACATTCGTCGACACTTTAAGCTAAAATATCATCTAAAGCGGGGCCAAGCATCGACCGACAGTCGCAAATTTAAAAAAATATTTTCCTTCTTTGAAACTCTTTTCAACCGCTTCTTGCCCGGAGATTTTCCGCACGAGTTTTCAGAGTGCGGTGCCAACATTTTTTTACGCGCCGCGACTTTTGTCGGGAATTAATTGCTTTCAGATGTACCAATTTGAATGGAAATGGAGTGCAATTCGGTGGTGTGCCCTTTGGGGTAGCGAAATTTCACACGAAAGTGCGCAGCACCGGGTTTTCCCTGTTATGCGATTCCGGAAAGGATACCGGACGATTTTTCCATTTCCATTATTCTCGAAATTGTACGCGTTGTCGAGTTAACGTTTCGTATCGATCCTCGCGATAAATACTTTCATAAAAGCAGCCGGATTACGCGAGTCACATTTAACATCTAATGCAACGACCCTCGACATTTGGCCAAACGAACCACATGAGAGTGACCGTTTCCTCTTTTTATTTATTTATACTCATTGATTCTCTCCCGTAACGATATCGCGCTACAAACCGCCAACAATCGACTGCATAACGTAATCCTCAAAGCGTCCGCAATATCGCGCGCTGTGTGCGTAATATCCTCGATGACGCACAACACGTACTCGAATAGCTAATCACCTCGGAATCAAACGAAAATAAAGATATCAAATATTTACGCGATTGAAAAAGAATCGAATTACGCGCCAATTGATGTTCTCCGCGAGAAACACGTATCACGCTCGCGCGCTCTGCTTTCGGTAATTCAACAAAAAAACTGAAAAGCAACGTTAAATAAATAATACGATTGCGCGAACGGAGTGATTATGTGATAATGACGATGACAACACAAAACACATGCTCTCGTGTGGGAGTGTTTCACGCGTGTTTCACGAACAAGCGACGCTCTCGGCGCGGGCAGGCGCAACAGAACTTACGATTTCAGGGTTTCAATTGCGGAGGACTCCTCCTTGGGTTGAGTATCCTCCGCCGGGGTGACCTTGGTCGTCTTCGTTACTAAAAAGAGAAAAAGGATCCGTTTATGGCGTTGTACTTGACGAAGTGCGTCAGTCCTATTCGCGAGCTTTCTTACAAGCTATACACCCTCTGGGATCCACCACAATTGGCGAAGCGATTGCCGCGAACATATCTCTGCCTTCTTCTCTCTCCCTCTCCCTCCCTCCCTCCCTCTCTCTCCCTCTCTCTTTCTCTTTCTCTCTCTCCCTCTCTCTCTCTCTCTCTCTCGCCGCTCTCGACAGAGTCCTTACAGTTCCATTTAGATTCTCAAGAATATCTCCGGGAGGACTCGTTAAGTATTCAACCTCCGCCCCCTGTCGAACGTGGGAGACCGTCGCGGCGATTTTATCCGTGCGATTTGCCGAAGGCTTCCCTAATCGAGCGGCGTTATCGCGAATCTCCGTCGTGGAGAAACGGTCGGCGCGATTTCGAGGGTCGGCATTATCGTTGGCAGAAACGAGTTCCCGATGTATCCCTTCTCCGTCGAATGCCCTGTGTCGAGACCGCGGTCGTGCGAGACGATAGGAATCGTAATCAAGTCGCGTCTTAATATCGTTTAGATCGTCGTAGGAAGGAATCACCTTTCCAAAATGGATTATTGTTATTATACTGTAATATTTTCGTCTCCGCCGTGCACCGGTTACACCGTGCTTTTAGTTGTTTCGAGATAACGCGGTTACAAATGACTTTGGTGGAAAATGTTCATTCGGAAATGTTTTTAGGCGGCTCGGGCGAGAAACGTCTCTCTCTCTCTCTCTCTCTCTCTCTCTCTCTCTCTCTCCCTCTCTCTCTCTCTCTTTATCTCTCGTTACAGCGGACGGTACCGCGTTATGTCGAGTTGCTTCCGAGTCAGCTTCTCAATTAACCCAAATACTCTCGCGAGTAACCAGATGATCCATGATTCTTTTTCCACTGCGAGCCCGTCGTGGTACGAATTAACAGAATAAAAAAGATTACCGCGTTGTAGATGGAGAGGAAAGAGAGAAAAAGAGAAAGAAGTGAGTTTTGCTGCTCTCCACGCGCATGTTCCTTCTTTGCAGTCAGGTGTTTCCCCAGAGAAGAAATGTTTCAGCTCAAGCTTGAAACTAGGAGAGAGAATGCACTTACTGTATAAGCACTGTATGAAATATAGAAGAGAAGCTCATTTAATTATTCACGACGATTTTAATATTTAGGTAAAAGAGGTCTTATATTATTTTATGGATTCAATTTATTCGCTCGCGCGAAGGCAGAGGACGAACTTTGCGAATTGAAGCTACAGCGCAGAAATCGAATTTATAAGAAAACTATCGCAACCGGACAGCTGCCAATTTAAACTTTATAATCCTAATTAGTGTCCATCTTTTGTATCGGAAACTGGCGCGAGGTATATACCAGGAAAAAGGTAGGTGTTCCTCGAAAAAGTTTCGTCGAAAGTTTCGGCGAGGTGAAGGTAAAAATAGGCCACATCGCTTAGTAATTAACCCAATTACTCACTGAAGCGGTGCGCGACCTTTTTGTAAGATAAATTCTCGCGAGAAGCCGAAAAAAAGAAAAGATATGGAGAATGGGAAGGAGAAGGGAAGGGAGAGAGTTAAAGAAATCGCGCCCGCAGCGGCGCGAGAAATTGCAGTCGCGTTCGCGGGCGAACGAGCGCGTGTAGTGGCCGGATCAGATCGCTCGTGGATCCAATTAAACTTGTAGAAAAACCGAGCAGATGTGCGTGATCCACCGCGTATCGCCTCTCTTTCTCACCATCGCGGAAATTAACCGTCAGATCGAATCTTACGTGAGTTATGACTTGGCTTGGAAAATGCGCCGTGCGCGGAAAGCGCCATCAAACGCGTTAATTCCGACCGTGCGAGCGTTGAAAATTGCTCGTTTGATTTATCCGCTGTGCCTATGGAAGTATCCCGGAGTGCGGGATAAATCGGAAGACGCAGCTTTGAGTGTATGAAGTTGGCACCCCACTTTTTGAAATTTATAATTTTGAAAGTTGTTCCAGATTGTTCTGACTTTGTACCACATTGTTCCAAAGTGATATTGCTTCATTCGAAACGGTTTTCGAATAAAACAAAAAAAATGATTTTTTGAGCTGGCACCCCACTTTTCGAAAATCGAACATTCTGATACCGCAATAGATTGTTCTAGTTGTTCCAAACATTGTTCCAAAAGGACAAATCCGTAAGTTGAATTATAAGTCGAAAAAATGAAAAAAAATGTTTTTGACCTGGCACCCCATTCGTAGCGTCATCCGTTCTCCGAAAATTCGAAAAAAAATCGATTTAACAGCACCCGACGTCAAGAGAAAAACAGCTGCCTTTCTTGTTCCAACCGAGATCTTTTTGTTCTGAGTTATACTAGGCTTAAACGACGAAGCAATTTCACTTTATTTTGTCATGACATTTTGTAATTATTTCCGCCAATTTTCCTATAATAAAGATTAATTTTTGTAAGAAATCATCTTTTTCTTGAATTTTTGTCACCTCAGAAATATATTTTAATCATCCTTATTTTCAATCATCCAAATAATTATACTTTTTTAAATTAGTATATAGAACTTTTTTTTTAAGAAAATAGTTTCATCTAAAAAAACCTGAAAATATTTTTGTTAATTTTAATATGTTGTTAAGTTATGAATTTTTTTTTACGAAATTACATTTTTTGTCGATTTTCGGCAAATTTAAATTGTTATTGCAAAAAATTGTTAATAAATGACTAAAGTAACTATTGGAACATAAAATGTAATCTCTCTAGAGTATCCCAGAATTTTTTCAGATTTTTTAGATGAGTTTTTAACAAAAAAATATTACAGAACTTAAAGGGGTCACCGTGCAAATGGCGTTAGTAAAAAACATAATGTAAACAGAGAGTTAAAAATATTTGTTGTATATCATGAGCAAAATTTCGAAACGTCAGTTGGTCATTATACTGCGTATGTACGTAATGGTACCAATTGGATTGAATATGACGACTTGTTGCGTAAGCCAAAAAAACTTTCCGTTCAAGCTAAAGGCAATGTAAATATATGTATTTATGTAGAAACATAAAATATTCTTAACCCTCCGCATTATGTTTTTTACTAACGCCCTTTGCACGGTGACCCCTTTAAGTCCTGCAACATTTTTTTGTTAAACTCATCTAAAAAATCTGAAAAAATTCTGGGATACTCTAGAGAGATTATATTTTATGTTCCAATAGTTACTTTAGTCATTTATTAACAATTTTTGGCAATAACAATTTAAATTTGCCGAAATCAACAAAAAATGTAATTTCATAAAAAAAATTCATAACTTAACAACATATTAAAATTAACAAAAATATTTTCAGGTTTTTTTAGATGAAACTATTTTCTTAAAAAAAAAGTTCTATATACTAATTTAAAAAAGTATAATTATTTGGATGATTGAAAATAAGGATGATTAAAATATATTTCTGAGGTGACAAAAATTCAAGAAAAAGATGATTTCTTACAAAAATTAATCTTTATTATAGGAAAATTGGCGGAAATAATTACAAAATGTCATGACAAAATAAAGTGAAATTGCTTCGTCGTTTAAGCCTAGTATAAATCAGAACAAAAAGATCTCAGTTGGAACAAGAAAGGAAGCATGTGTTTACTCTTGACGTCGGGTGCTATCAAATCGATTTTTTTTCGAATTTTCGGAGAACGGATGATCTTATGAGTCTTATACTCTAGAACTATAATTCTTAAGCCTAGAACAACTCAGAACAAAAAGATCTCGGTTGGAACAAAAAAGATAGTATAAGTTTACTCTTGGTCCGATAGACTGTTCATCAAAAAACTTTTTTTTAATTTTTTGGGCTTATAATTAAACTTATTGATTTATGCTTTTGAAACAATGTTTGGAACAACGAGAACAATCTATATCGGTATCGGAATGCTTTATTTTCAAAAAATGGGGTGCCAGGTCAAAAACATTTTTTTCATTTTTTGGACTTATAATTCAACTTACGGATTTGTCCTCTTGGAACAATGTTTGAAACAAATAGAACAATCTATCGCGGTATCAGAATGTTCAATTTTCGAAAAGTGAGGTGCCAGCTCAAAAAATTATTTTTTTTTGTTTTATTCGAAAACCGTTTCGAATGAAGCAATATCATTTTGGAACAATGTGGTACAAAGTCAGAACAATCTGGAACAACTTTCAAAATTATAAATTTCAAAAAGTGAGGTGCCAACTTCATACACTCGCAGCTGCTCTCTTGAAAATCGTCACCGATGTGACTGTGAACTCAAAAGCTGAGGTGAGCACTTAGTCACACGAGTTCGAGCGATTTTTCACTCGCAGAGCAAATTTTAAAGCGATTTTTCACACGTAGAGCAAATTTTTCACTCGGCACCGTCGAATGAATATTTTTATTTGAAATTGAAGCGAAATTGAGAGAAATTGTAAATCTGATGTATATATACTACATTCGATTGCAAAACGTTTTAGGCAGAAATAAAGTTGGGATCTCATCAAATTGTCAAAATTGAGAATTATTATCGACAGGTTTTCGTCGTAATTACACTATGAATCATTACTATTATTATTATTATTACTATTATTATTATTATTACTATTATTACTATTATTGTTATTAATTATATTATTACTGCGTGTAAACCCATCGGTGATGACTCTCGATTTTGACAGTTTAATAAGCTTTCAACTTCATTGTGTCTAAACCGTTCCCGTGACCGACTGTTTTTCTCATTGAGGTTGCAGTGCTTCAGGTTGGCACAATTGAGAGACATTGCTGACGCGTTTGCGCAAGTCATTACAGGAGCCGAAGTGACAATATATGAGGCATTCAAAAATACAAAGATTCAGGAAAAGTGTATCACTGATCGTGTACCGTCACTTTGGCTCCTGACATAACCTATTGCCACAACATCGTCTCTCAGTGACAATCAAGAGCAGGGATAAGGGCGCACATATGACTTCTCTTTATATGCATGTCATATATTTATTGACGTAGATTTGTCCTTGAAATCCGGTCCCTAACCAGGAGTG